GGGGCCGGTGAATTTTGCGCGCCTCTCCGCGCCCCTCCGCGCAGGGGGCAGGGCGGCCTCAGACGGGCCGCAGGAGCGGTACGGAGGTGACCACGGGGTGGGAATAATAGACGGGGTGAGGGAAGGTGAGCAGGGGTTGGGTACCGGGGGCTCCGCCGCCCCCCGCGCTCCCCTCCGCGCCCGAGTTCTCGTGGTAGAGGATGGGGACGCGGACGATGCGCTGCGCGGCGGCGTGGCTGAGGTTGGCGGCTTCCAGCTCGGCCGCCAGTTGCCTCTTCCACTTGTTGCGGCGGTTTTGGAACCAAATCTTCACCTGGGTCTCTGTCAGGTGGAGGGAAGCGGCCAGGCCGGCCCGTTCCGAGCTGCTCAGGTAGCGCTTCATGTCGAAGGTGGATTCCAGCTGGAAAACCTGGCTGCGGCTGAACACCGTCCGCGTCTTCTTCTTGCGGCAGGGTTTCTTCTCCGGGCTCTCCTCCCGTTTCTTCCAGTCCTCCGCTCCCCCTTCCTTCTTCGCCTCCTCCGAGTCGCTCTCTTCCAGGACGATCTCGTCGGGGGGGCTCTTGGAGTCCAGCTCCTTCTGCTCCCCCTCCGCCTTCAGCAGCGGCTCCGGGGAATCCCGGTCGGTGCCCGAGGCGGGGGACGAGTCCCTCAGCAGGGATTTCTCCGCGGCTAGAAGGGGAAGGACGAGGGCAAGGGCGAGGGTACGGAGGGGAAGGGACACAAAGAGACACCTTCTTCACCGCCCGGTCTTCCCCCGCGTCCCGTCGGGGGGATGCGGGACGAGCCGGCCGGGGGTCCCCGCGTCGCCCCGCCGCCGGCCTCCCCCCCCCCTTTCCCCGCCGGGAAGGGAGAAGGAGAGGAAGAGGAGGAAGGAAGGAGGGAGGGGGGCACAGCCGTACCTTCCGTGCGGGGCAGGTGGGCTCCGGCCGGCGTCAGGGCGTAGGGGTACCACCAGGTCTGGGCCCGTTCCAGGCAGTGGGCGCTCAAGGCGAAGCGCGGTGCCGGGATCTCGAAGCGGGGGAAAGCGAGGTCGCCCACCTGCGAGAGGGCGAAACCGGCGCCGACGGCGGCCCCCCCCGCCGCCGCCGCCGCCGCTTTGCCCGAGGGGGCGAACAGAGCCCGCGGTTGTTTTGGGCTCGCCTTGGGGGGGCCGCCGTTGAGTAGGTTCTTGATGTAGAAGGATTCCTTGGCCGGCGGCGGAGGGGCGTTAGGAGGTTCCTGCCCGGTCTCCGGCATCCTCC